GGCTCGGGGCTGAGCACAGCTGGGAATGAGGCAGCTGGGATTCTGTTCACCTGCCCCTCCCTCCTCACTCGCTGTGGGCCAACCAGGAGGTTCTCAGGAGCCCCAGGGTGCAGCTGCACAGCACTCCGCGTGCACTGAAATGCCAGCCATTCGAACTCAAGAGAGACAGGTCTGGGGTCACTGTGCGTCAGAGTAGAGCCACCATGCCATGGACCCCACAGTCCCCTTCCCCCCAATCCCTTCTTGGCTGGGGTCTCTGACAGAAACCAGAGACATTGCCACCTGATACCCTCTCATGCCCCCCACTGCCCAGAAAGCTGGCTCTGAAAGAGCAGCAGGTGGGGTTGGGGAACAGTCTTCGATTCTGCACTTAGTGGGGGAGCTAACCCAGGGCTCCACGCCTCCAGGGCCTGTCAGGGCCGACAAGCTTTCCCCAGCCCGGCCTCGCTCGTGGTGGTAAGAGCACAGTGGACGCACGGCAGAGGACCGCCAGGACTTTCGGGCGGGAGAGGGCGGGCAGCAGCTCCATCACGTACCGCTCCAGTTTTTGGCCATTTTGAACATGTTTGCAGCTCGGGCGTAGATCTCACAGGCTTCCTCGATTTTGGATGAGCCTCTGCAGGAATAGAGAAAAACAAGAAAAGGTAAGAGGCCTGTGGAGTCTGGGATCAGAGAGGTGACACGTGCCCTGCTGTATGAGGACCCCAACCCTGCTCTGGTTGCCCCCAGAGGCCAGCTGGGGCCCAGCCTGGTGAAGACCCATCTGCGCAGCCCCACCTGCTAGACAAAGCCCACTGCGGCGGAGTCGATGCCCACTCATGGTGACCCTGCACAGCAGCGGGACTGCCCACAGGGTCCCCAGGAGCCGGTGGCCACCTCCTCCTGCCCAGTGGCTGGGGGCTTCCAAGTGCCCACCTTCCCATTAGCAGCCCAGTGATTATTTAGCCACAGTGCCACCAAGGCAGGGGCAGACCACCCAAGATGAAGGGGGAGCAGGAGCTGACATGTGCTTACGGATTAATCGGAGGGAACCGTTTCAAAGTCCCTACCACCTCTGGGGGTCTGCTGTGAGGTCTAGCTGGTATCTGTCTCCCTCAGCCCCACAGCCTCCCCCAGGCCCCGTCTACAGAATCCCTGCCCCTTTTCAGACTCACACCCACACAGGGACCAAGGACCTGGTAAGCAAGGGCTTCTAGGTGCTTACTTACCCATGTGCAGTGAACACTTGCCCACAGCATGTGAAACTGCTTACTACAGACTAGCAGGTAAGCACCTGTATGACTGTGCTTACCTTGACACCTGGCCCCCTGGCCCTGCTCTCTACTCGGTCAGGTGGGCTTGCTGCTGGGCCCTCAGCGTGGAGGCTGGGGGACTTGGGGCAAATACTGCCCTCCTGTTAGTTCCCCCCTGGTCATGTCCTGCTCGGACAGCTTCTGCCACGGCTGGCCAGGGCTTCTGGGGACTCTTCTGGACTGAGTTGTCCCCACCAAAAAGCTACATTCAAGCTCTCAGCCCTGAGACCTGTGCAGGTAACCTTGATTGGAAATAGGATTTCTGAAGATGTTATCAGTGAACGCGGAGATCCTAGTGGGCCAGCTGGGGCCTGATCCCACCCGAGTGGGACCCTTGTGGAAACAAAGAGACACAGACACGGAGGTGGTGGCAGCGGAGGAGGCCCTGAAGAGCCCGGTGGAGGCTGGAGTGATGCAGTCACAGGCCTGGAGCCCCACAGGCTGGAAAAGACCAGGGAGGGGCCAGCGACTGCCATGCAGTCTTGCTGACACGGCCTTTTCCCTGGCCCAGCATCCAGAGGCGGGGCCCTGGCTGCCTAGTGGTTACGCCTTGGGCTGCTGACCACAAAGCCACCAACTGGAAACCAAACCCTCTGCTGCGCGTTAGACAGACAGCTGAGAGGGTGGAAACCCACAAGGACAGCTGTACCCTGCCCGACGGGGTTGCCCTGAGTCAGCGCTGACTCGATGGCAGACTTCTGAGCCGCCACGGGGGTTTCTGGGTGGTGAAAATGGTCAACCGCTGGGTGTCTAGCTGAAAGGTGGGTGGACTGGTCCCACCCAGCAGCCCAGCGATGGGCCCAAACATTAGACTGTGAGGAGGGTGTAGGACCAGGAGGGTTTCCCTCTGTTACATGGCGCCCTGGTGGGACCCCCAACAGGGGGTCTGCAGGACTGCAGCACAGGGTCCCCAGCCTGGGGGTCTGCAGGACTGGGGCCCAAACTTGTGCACTGTCGACCCTTGGCATGCACTGTGTGACATATTCTTTTTTTTTTTAACATGTTCTTTAACCATCCATTTAGGTATCTGTTCAGTTACACACTTGTAACAATAAAACTTCACTATCATTGAGTGGATTCCGACGGAGAGCACCCTATGGAGGGTTTCCAAGGCTGTGGGTCTTTACAGGAGTGGGCGACCTCGCCTTTCTGGCGGGCTGGGACCACTGAACCTTGAACGCTGTGGTTAGCAGTCCAGTCTTAACCCAGGGCTCCTTAAACACACACAAATGGGCTTCCGAAGTTACGGGGAAAATCCCATTACCTTTTAAGTCCATTTTCCATGGAACCTGCCGGCCCCCCACCACACGCACCATCCCACGAGGGTTTAACAGATTTGTTCAGTTCTTCTACCCCCTGTAAGCCACCGGGCCTCCAGTCTCGGTCACCCATCCCTTTTGTGTCCAGCATCAAGAAACCCCCAAACCGGAGTCCTGCCAGGCAGGCTTCGGGGGATCCTAGGGGTGCGATGGTGGGAAACTTGGGCTACCACCGGAGCGGCTGGCGGTTCAAAGCTTCCCAGCGGGCGGCAGGGGTCCGGGGCCTGACCATCTGCTCCTGTGGAGATGGCAGCCAGGAGAACCGCTCACAGTGAGCCAACATCGGCAGAGCTCCCAGTGACCTCACCAGCGTCCCCCGTGTGGCTGTCTTTGTTACTTGACAAAGAGGCTATTTTCCCAATCAGGAAGCACACAGGTCCCTAGTCCCAGCCCTCACTCCCGTGCTACCTCCACACAGGGAAGCAGGGCCTGGCGGAGCCCAGGAGGGGATTGCCACACGCCCCTGGGAGAGCTTGCTCTGGGGTCTGGGTAGAGCCCGGGAGCCTAATTTTTAACAGAGGTGATTCCAGTAACTGGGCAAGCTGAGGAGAGGAAGTGACTGAACGCGGCTGGAGAGGCAGAGCTCGCCCTGCGCACTGGGTGGAGTGGGTGTAGAATCCTTGCCTTCCACCTGGGAGACCCCTGCGTGAAGCCTGGCCAGAGCCCCTCAAGCACTGCCGCCACAGTGTGCCATGGAGGCGTGTGCTGGTGCGCAGGTTTCTGCAGAGCGGCCAGATGCAGACAGGCCAGGAGGCCTGGAACTGGCGAGCAAGGAGGTTATCCTGATGGAAAGCCCGCGGCTGCTGCCTCCTGGGGCTACATCGACACACACACACACCTGGGACTTGGAGGGATGAGGAGCAGGCACACTCTCCCAGCAGCAGCGGGATGGGAGGGGTGCCTTGCTGGGGCCTGGCTGCTGGCCACTGCTCCAGAGGCCCCTCTCTGGGACGTTCTCTGGCAGGAAGCCCACCAAGCCCACCGGGAACAGCCGCCAGCCCCTCCTGTGCTCACTGCGGGGACAACAAAATGCTGTCCACCAGCCTCACCGGGCACTCTGGAATGGCTGGTCCCACTGAGGGGCCCAGAGCTGGGCGAGTGGTCAGTGGCCCCTGCCAGGGCTCGTCTTGGCTCAGTGGCAGAGCAGACACAGGACACTGGGCTGAGGTCTAAGACAGCAGCAGCCTTGTTTGGGGGAGGGGGAGCAGCCCGAGGGGGCTTACAGGCCAGCCTCCTCCTGGGCCCCGGCAGGGCAGAGAGAAGGGGCACACTCAAAGAGTTCTCCACTTCTTCAGGAGAAAGGAGCAGGGTTCCCCAGGAGCCACCGATGGGAGAAATAACTGGGGGGCGGGGGCGGGCACCATGAACAGTAGAGGAGGGCAAGGCGCAGGAGCTGGGGGCAGGGCAGTTTGGAGTGAGTCGTGCTGGGGGTGAGGCTACGCTGAATGGGACCAGCAAGGACCCTGCTCTGTCCTTGGAGTTCTGGGCTTAGGCCTCAGCCCCGGCGCGGGCACGAGAAGGGGAAGGGCAGACGAGCCAAAGGGCACACGTTGGGCAGAATCCGGGGCCAGTGGAGACCAGGGGAAGGGTTCCAAGCAGAGAAAGAGACCAGCGGGGCAGACACAGTCCTCCAGAACTCCAGCAGGCCGCCTGGCCACAGGGCAGCTGGCTAAGGCCATTCCTGGGTTTTCTGCCGGATGGGGCAACCTCCCAAGCAAAAACAAGACTGTCCCCTCTGCCTCCTGCAATCCTCATGTGCAGGGTCCCTCCCTGCGCTGATGGTCCCTCCCCTGCGGGTCCCCACAAGCTGCTTCAGCTTTACACTCCTGCCCACAGCCAAGGGCTCAGCCAGGAGCAGGGGAGCTGCTTTGGGCCAGCTGCGCAGGGCGGGCTGTCATTACAGGGCAGCTCTGCTCCCTGTTCCCCACAGCCCAGGGCTGCATGCGGTGGTGGCCATGTGGAGGGGCCTGGGCGGGGCCAGGAGCAAGGCTGGCACCAGTGGGGCCCCTCAGGCCTGGGAATCCGATCTGCAGAACCCTCCCTCCACCACCCACCCCAGCACCTGCTGATTTCTACAAACACGCACTCCACCCCTGTCCCTGAAGTTAAAGACCTCAGTGAGCAAGGCATATGGGAGTACCTCCCCATATTAGGTCCTCATCCCACGGTTCCACCTAGCCACCTCTGCACCCCCAGCCCCCCCCACAGCTCTTAGAAGCTACTACAGCCTCCCCAGACCCCCTGGCTCAGGCTCAGGAAGCATGGCCCCCCAGACCTGCTACAAAGAGCCCGGATGATCCAGTGGCAGAGCACTCACTCAGTCGCTCATGAGAGGTCAGTGATTTAAACCCACCAGCAGTATTCAGGGAGAAATGGCTGGCAACCTGCCTCCCTGCCATTCTAACGCATAGCGACCCGACAGGGCGGAGGAGCCAGCTCACAGGTTTCCAAGGCTGCCAACCTTTCACAGAAGCTGAATGCCCTGTCACTCTGCAGAGCGGCCAGTGGGCTTGAATGGGTGAGGCCAGCAGCTGGCACTTCCTCCACTGCCACCAGGGCCCTTCAACTCACGGAAGCTCCCAGCTGTGGAGTCAACTCTGGCTCACAGTGACTCGACACAGGGCTTCAGAGACTCGGCTCCTACATGGGGGTGGGCAGTCTCTTCTTTCTCCCATGGACTGGCGGGGAGGTTTGAACCACTGACCTTGTGGTTAGCTCCTCAATACCTAATCCATAGTGCCACCCAGGGCTCCTTTTCAACTCGGAGGAGGGCGACAATGGTTGTCCCTTTTGAAAGACGGAAGCAGGGTCACTGACCTGATGTATTCTCGCTGTGCACGTTCTCAACAACAACACCACTAACACAGAGAAAGAGCCAGAGAAACGGGACCACCGGGGAACCTCGTGGGGCCGTCCTCCTGTCCTACAGGGTCCCTCCGAGTGGGAATGGGCTCCGTGGTGCCCCCGTTGGGCTGTCCTCAGGGGTCTGGGAGGTGGCCCCAGGG